AAACCAAAAAAAAAAATTTATTTTATTTATTATGCATACAACATTCTGCTTCCATGTATATCTGCACATCAGAAGAGGGCACCAGATCTCATAGAGAATGGTTGTGAGCCACCATGTGGTTGCTGGGACTCAGGACCTTTGGAAGAGCAGTGCTCTTAACCTCCGAGCCATCTCTCCAGCACTGATATCTGTCAGTTTTAAGTGCCAATGCTTTCAACCAAATTGTTTCTGGCATGAGTATACTGCTAATGTGTCTAAAATTTATGTTTTCACAAACTCAAAGAACTCTTGTTACATTCCATCGAGCCTAATTGGACCCACCCAAACAGGTCAGATTCACTCCAAATAAATATTATTCAACCTTTCCCTGGTCCTGTGACTCCCTTCCCTCATCTTGGGGACCTCCCCAACCCCTTCCTCATCTTATGATCCTCCTCCCCTCAAGTACCAAAACCTAAGAAAAAAAAAAATTCTTAAACTTTGTATTCTGCTCTGCCAACAGCTTGCCAGGTCTAAGAGGTACCAGAGAGTTCCATACAGCTTGGACTGTGATGAAACAACCAGCTACCCCAGGACATGGCAGCGTCCCAGCTTTCTTGGGTCCCCCAAAGATAGTCAACACCCCCCAGATCATCAGGAAGTAGTCTTGAGAACTTGATGTCCTTATTCTCTAACCAGCCATGCCTAACACCTCACCTTTTTAATGATAAGTAAAGGTGGGAATGAAAAGATGCAGGCATTATGCTGGCCTGCCCCTGTCACCTGGCAGAATGCACTCAGGCAGTACCCCTGGTCAGCCCAGGGTTCCATGAGTATTGGTCTGCACACAGGTGCAAAGGACCCCTTTAAAAGACAGACCCCAGCTCACTTACACTCTCTTGCTCTCTTTCTGCTCTCTTCCATCTCTTTCCATTCTCCTCTCTTTCTGCTCCTGTCTTCCTCTTCTGTCATCTGTGTCACTGTGTCTCTTTACCTCTTTTCTCTTTCCTTCCCCCTCCCTCCCCTTTCTAATAAAACCTCTCACTCAAGCTCTATCTGCCTGGCGTGTTTGTCTCGACGTCCATGGAATCCACCATGCCCTCCCCCACCCCCTGCAGGACCCCCTTCCTACTTTATCCTAGCATTTGAAGCAAAAGAACAACAATTAACACATTAGTGAACGCCCCTCGATTTTTTTCTAGGCCCTTTACGATCTGTTTTATAGATTGGATTTTTTTTTTCAGGGGCTAGGGAAGTATGTTTGGGAATGGACATTGTAAAAACAATCACCATCTCGGACAACAGAACCTAGTGGCATAGCCTATATTGGAGCCATGGGTCGTGACCCCTTTGGGGATGGATCAACTTTCACAGAGGTCACATTTCAGATATCAAATATTTACATTGTGATACATAACAGCAAAATTACAGTTATAAAGTAGCAGCAAAAGTAATTTTATGGTTTAGGGTCACAAGAGAAACTGTACTAAATGGTAGTAGCATTAGGAAGGTTGAGAACCACTGCTATATACCAGCCTTTGGGAGGTGGAGGCAGGAGGATAAGGAGCTCAAAACCACCCAGGTTTCATGAGACCCTATCTCAAAGTTCCAAAATAAAATCGTAAAAAAGAGGGGGAACTGTATCATGAGGATCCACACCTGTGAAGGATGCTATTTGTTGTGTGGCTGCTTCCTGTGTGTTCTGGGTGAACGACCCACACACTCCTTCAGCTCTGGCCGCTAGATGCGGGCACGTGGGAGAAATAGAGGGCGTTCACTTAAGTTTGCAATGTGGACGCATCTCCCTGGGGCAGAGCTGTCCCGCACCAGCATGAGCAGGACAGGGGGACAGAGAGCAGTTGGCTGTCTGCACAGTCCCTGCCCAGAGCCCCCACCCCCGGCTGGCGCCACAGTCAGCCGGTGGGGCGAGATAAAGCGGGCAAGGTTCTGCGGATCCGAATCAGGGAGGCGCAGCTCCGATAGCAGCGCCCGGGATGGGCTCCCGGTGTGTTTGCTCCAACTGTTTAAACTGCTTCAAAGCGCCAGAGCCCCAGCGACCTTCAGCAAACAGCTGCTAATCTCTAGCCAGGGAGAGCTGTCCCAGCGAGGACTCGGGCAGCCCAGGGCCTCTCGCCCGCACTCCGCCCCCGTGGGACCACGGCCACGCCCGGACCACCGCTAGAGGATGGTCATCAGCGGAGGCCGAGGGGAATACAGCAACTCTTGCCGGAAGCCCTCAGGCCCTTGACCCGCCCCTCTGGTCCCAGCCTTGTCCCTTTACCCTTGCCCCGCCCTAGGGCAAGCCCTCTGGCCCTTGCCCCGCCCCTCCGGCCCCTCTAAGTCCCTTTACTCTCGCTCCGCCCTTCGCCATGTCTTCGGACCCTTTCCCTGCCCAGGACCCTTGCACGACTCCAGGCTCTTGCCCCGCCCCCAGTCCCTTGCCCCGCCCCCGGGCCCTCGCCGGGGACTCTAGCCCTTGCCTCTCGCTCCAGCCCTCACTCCGCCCTTAAGTTCCTGTCGCTTCCCCAGGTCCTTGTTCCGCCCCCAGGGGGCGGGGGGCGGAGCGGACTGAGACTGGCCGGACACTCAAGCGAGCCGGCTGTCTGCTGGATCCCGGCAGCTCCGTCGGGCCCCTGCCGCCGCCGCACCTCGGCAGCCAACGTAGCGTCGCCGTCGGGGATCCTCAGTGCAGCGTTCGTCCTCAGCATGATGGACTTGGAGTTGCCGCCGCCAGGACTACAGTCCCAGCAGGTGCTGCCCCGGCCCTTGGGCTTCTCGGCTGTGCCAGGAAGCAGACGGGAGCTCGAGGGGACAGTGGTCCCGGGAGGGAGGGACAGTCTGAACCCAGACTGCGACAGCCCGACCTGGGAGCTGCCCCCCGCCGGGCCGGGAAGGCAACGGGGGTGTTGGGGCAGCGATGAGAGTAGGGACCGAGCCTGAGGTCCCCGGGGGCACTGGGGTTGGGGTGTGGAGGAAGCTCGGGCTTGGTGGGGCCAGAGGGCATCAACACCACCTCGCTGGGTCGGATGCTCAGAGGCGGCGGGAGGGGGCGGACGCTGGCTGTCTTCGCCGGCGCAGCCCGGCCCTTTCCGGGCTTGCGTAGTTTCCCAGATTCGGTGCCGGTAAAAATGTGCCTAGTCACGGGGCCGTGCTCGGGGGAGCTGAGGTCTCCTCGGCGACCGCCCCGGAGACTGCTTCCCTCCCCTGGCCGCGACCTCCAGCGCGGCTGCCAAGCCCCCTTGGCCGTCTGTGGTTTTCTCAGCCCGAGAGCTCGTCGTCTGTAGGATCATGCCAGTCCGGCTTGATCTAGAAAAGCCCAGCCCTCTGGGGGCGGAAGAGAAAGTCACCGGGTGACCCTCGTGCTCAGGTGCCCCGACGGGCAGGGCTCCTCGCGCTTCCTCGGCCCGGGAATCCGGCATTGGCCTCACGTCAGGCGAGGACTTGAGGACCTGGGCGGGCTCAGAGGCCCTAGGCAGCCGCACGCGGGGCTGTGTGTTCTGAGCGTCGTGACTCGCGGGGCCCCCACACTGTGTATGTGTGCGTGGCTGTGGCCTCCGGGTGGGTGACAGCGGCCGGTTGGCAGTCACGGAGGCCCTCGGTTGGCCCTTTCCTGCTTTATAGCGTGCAAACCTCGCTGCTCTGGGGCCAAGGGACAAGTTGGAGCTGTTGATCTGTTGCGCAATTGTTATTTTCCCCTGGGCGGCTTTGTCTTTGGATTTAGCATTGCAGAATTGCAGTCCCAGAATGTGTAAAGCAGGATATTCTGTTCCTTGCCGTCAAGGGTAAGAGTTGTAGATTAGAATTTGTTGCTTTTTATATTGACGATGAAGTTTTTGCGTTTAGCTATTATCCCTCCCTTGTGTCTTTAGTACATTTTTCCTTAGTGTTTGAGATTTTTTGCCTCCTCGATTTCTTAGCACATTGTGAACTTTTATGAACAGAGAGGATGGGACGCTTTCGTTTCATAACCCCTTGTTGATAAGTTTTGAAGATTGTTATGTAAGTGAAAATCAGTTTTTGGTCATACTTCTGGCACTTTTAAAGAAGTAAATGCTTATGTTGCCATTGTGTTGTACTTGGATTTTTAGGAAAAGGGAATGTGTAACTTGGTAAACAGAAAGTTAATTTAAATGTTAAATCGCTGACCCTGAAGGGCCTGATGTAAGCTTTTAGTTACTGACAGTGCATTAATTCTACTCCCTCTCTTGAACTTTCCCCCAGAAATGATTGGGGTTGTAGCTGGTTTTCATTAGGATGAATAAGTAAACTGTACTTTCTGATCTTCTGTTCTTCATTAGTAATCAAAAGGAATGCTTGTCTGGTCACAGGATACATGATACAAACGAACTTTGATTTTAAAGTTTTCTTCTTTTTTCTGTGTAGCATGTAGCATAACATTTCATGTACAAAAATGGCAGATGTACTGCTTTCTCCTCCATGTGAAAGTTTTCTTTGCCAACAACATTTCTTGTTATTTCCAGACAGCAACTTTGAAAAACAGAATTAAAAATTATAATTCATCTTAAAATCATTGTTTGGTAGTCCAGAAGGATTTGAACTGAGTTACAGATTTGAGCAAATGGTTGTGTTGTTGTAGGATAATGGTTTTAACTGCTCAATGACTCTTCATCTCAGGGGGAAAGCCATCCATTACTCTTTTCAGTGGTGTCTTGGAAAGATAAAAGTTGATGAAGTTGATATTGAAGATGAAGTTGATATTGAACGAGACAGATAAGCTTATTTTTAAACGTTAGACACAGAGAAAGTGGACAAGCCTTTCCTCTGGAATGAATGTTAAGCAAGACCAACTTGACTTTTTAGATATATGGAACATCTCTGAGACGTTACAGAAACCAAATGTGGATTGATAAATACACGACCACATCAGTCTTTTATCTTAAAAATAACTAAGGCAGTGGCTGGGGAGATGGCTCAGTGGTTAAGAGCACTGTCTGTTCATCCAGAGGACCCAGGTTCAATTCCCAGCACCCACACAACAGCTCCCAACTATCTGTAACTCCAGTTCCAGGGTATCCAACACCCTCATACAAACATCCATGCAGGCAAAAACACAATGCATAAGAATAAAAAAAAAATAAATGACTAAAAAAAATAATTAGGGCCATTTTGAAATTTCATTTATATTAACTTGGGTCCTTAAAAACAATGCTGGGGGAACAATCCTCTTTTAGGATTACCGGTGAGAGTTGAAAGCCAGATACGTGGTTCTTCTTAATGTTCATTTTTATTTAGGATGAGTTATGCTAAGCAAAGCTGCAGGAGAAAGGAGCACTTGAGCAGTTACCTTTATTTCTAGATGTTTCCTTCATCGTGATTGAGCATATTTAAAAGGTTTTCATAAATCTATCTTCTTACTTTTTCCTTGAACCAGGGTTAGCTTGAGGATGTAGGAAGAATTTGGAACTTAGATACTAACTTACCTAGATAGTAGGTAAGTAAGTGGATACTCCTTTGCAAGCCAAGCAATATGGTAATTGCCTCTGATGTATAATTTCTCAGTACCCCCATGGGGAACACTTTTTATCTTCAGTTTTCAGGTTAGGAGAGAGGCCAAGATGACTCCTCCAACTGTTCCATGTTGAAGATAGAATTCAAACTTAGCCTGACTCCTTGGGCTCTGAATCTCTACTTCCAAACTGGACCAAAGGGAACTTGAAGCAGGGCCACAAAGCTTCAAGTGGGTTGTTTAAAAAACAACAACAGAAAACCAAACCAGGGAGGAGAGGCTGGGATGATAAAAAGGTATTATCTGCACCTTCCTCTCTTACCAAGGAAGTTAATAACCATTGAGAGGGAGTGGATCCTTTCAAGACAGCAGCGTGGGGAAACCGGTAACTGGATGGTGCCTGTGGTCCTGTCCAGGAAGACACAAAAGCAGGAGGCCTAGGCAGCTTTCATTTGGAGAGGCAGGATGTTTTTTTCCTGTAATTATCATTTTTAAAGCAATGTCCCAGAGTCTGCTTCACATTTTCCAGTGACCATTTTCCCTTTTTCTTAATTAAATCTTGTAGCTGCCTGGATCTTAGCCTTTGTTTGCCTTTGTTTACACTCTCCTGTATTTATTTTGGGGTGGTGATCAAAATTCCATTTAGTAAGTAGGGTATGTTGTACAGTGTGGCCAACAGGGTTGAACTAGTTTGATGGAAACTGGATTTGGGATTGGGGAACAGTGAGTTGAAAACAGCTAGCAGAAACCTGTTAGCTCAAACTGGACACTAATCCTCTGTCTTGGCACCTGTCCATTGAAACCAGCATCAAGAGCTCAAGCCTATTTGGTGAACCTGTAGCTTTGGGACTAGTACATTTTGGAGATTAACTACTCTATTTCCTGGTCTTTACTATTAAATCTTATTAGGGATTATTGTCTGATTTGTCTGATTAAATATGCTTCAGGATCTCCAGGGTTTTGTGGATGATTTACCTGAATTTCGTGGATGTGAGACCAGGTACTTGACTGGGTCACCCACTTCAGCATGTGCTGAACTCGGGTGGAGGCTACTTGCTAGAGGTAGTCAGTGGTTACCCTGCCTTACTCCATCCTTGGCTGTTAAAAGGGACCATGTTTCTGTTGTGATGATATGATCTCCAGGAGGTATTGAAATTTCATTTTTGTAAGTGCCAACAACATTTAGCAAAAAGGGCTTCAAGGTACCAAACCAAGACTTGGACAGTAGGCAATGGTATGTTTTATAGACAGGAAAGCAAAAGAAAGTTCTCTGTATATGCCTCCACCTTTGCTATAATAATATTAAGAATTTTGAGGGGCTGGAGAGATGGCTCAGCAGTTAAGAGCACTGGCTGCTCTACAGAGGACCCCAGTTCAATTCCCAGCACCCACATGGCAACTCACAACTGTCTGTTACTTCAGTTCCTTCACACCAATGCACATAAAACAAACTTAAATCATAAAAAAAAAGAAAAGAATTTCGATAAATCCATTGGCGGGAAGCATATGAAGAGTAACACTGACGTCCCAAAGCCTTGTGTTCAAATTTTTTTTCTGAGGCTGGATGGTTGGAGTATTGAGGATCAGACCCAGGTCCTTGCACATGCTAGACCCAAACTCCACCATGGAGCTAATCTCCCCGACTGTGAAAGTCCTTCTGTACTAGAGTGTAAGCATATTTTCCCCAGACTGTTGTAGTGTGAAGACAAATCCGGGGCCTAACTAGAACTCTCAGCACCTAGCTCATCTTATCCAGGTCTCTTTGATGACTGGCTCACTCTCACATGGTTATGTGAGCAACAGCTGCCTCCTGAAGAATCTGTTTAAATGAAATATCTGCCCACCACACCATTCACCCATTTAAAGCCCATTCAGTAGTCCAGTGTGTTTATAGTTCTGTAATCATCACTGTAGTTAATTTTATCACTCCTAAAAGAAGCCGCAGGCCCACTAGTAGCCACCTCCTACTTATTTTCCTCTAGTTCCCCAAGCCCCTGATAACCACTCAGTTATTTTTTTTTCCTTCTGGATTTGTTCATGCTAGACATTTTCATAGAAATGAAACACTCTGTGACTAGCTTGGCATGGTGCTTTGAAGACTGACCTTGTTATAACATACATCCTGTGTCATCATTCCTTTTTATTGCTAAATGCTATTCCATTGTGTGGGCATATCACATTTCAGATTGTGGAACGTTGAGTTATTTCAACTTTTAACACTTCACACTCATTTCCAGCATTTTGGATATTGATGCCCAGGTCACATTCTGTATTCAGTCCAACTCTAGGGGTGGTTTTAGGCATTAGTGCTGTGCTTTAAGGCATCTCACTGGATTCCAGTTGCAGTGAGGATTGAGAACTGGTACTTTAGAGACCTAATTCAGTGCCTGATGCAAATTGGAGGTATCCTGTGTGCAGTGATTTAGAAAAGCTGGTTAGAATGCTCTTATGTTTGATCACAGCCTGTGTTTCAAGTTAAGTTGGAGAATGTTTAAAATGCAGTAAATATGGCTTGAGTTCTTCAATACCCCATGAAGATTTTGATGATGACCTTGCTATCAACAGGCTTTTCCCAAAAGAAATGGTCAGGAGTTCGAATAACCTGCAGTGAGATCATCGAGGAATGGCATATTTAAAAAGGCTGTGAGGGGGCCTAGAAAGATTGTTCAAGAATTAAGAGTGAGTGCTTGCTGCTCTTGAAGAGGATCTGAATTCAGTTCCCAGCACCCAAGTCAGGAGGCTTACAACTGCCTATAACTAGCTCCAGAGGGTCTGAGGCTCTGACCTCCCTGGCACCTGCATGCATTAGCATATACCCCCACACAGATGCACAATTTCAAGACAGTGAGAGCCAGCCTTCTAGGGAGGATTGCTGGCAGTTGGAGCACAGTCTGGCCTGCAACGAAGAACCCTGACTCCAGACACAGGAGGACAATGGAGTGCTCATGCTGGGTGGGTGTTGAATGTGGATTCCTAGACACTTTTCATTCCTGGGCTTTGTTTTCTGTCTCCAAAGAAAACTCTGGAATCTCCAAACCAACTTGTAACAGCTCCCTTTTGGATTGTGCCTTACTGTTACAGACAGCTGTATGTATAATCCTGGCCACGGTGATCAGTACTTACATTGCCGAGCCATTTTCTGATTCACACATTTGGAGCTAGAGGCTGACTCTGCTTGTGGGTGCATGAGGGGTGGGATGGAGGCCCACTGGATGTGCCCTCTGTGGGTGGCCTGTGCGCTCTTTGCACACCTCTGCTCTCACTGTTTCTTCTGCTCAGTGCTGCTAGGCAGAGCTGCTTGAGCTCCACCCCAGCCATTCCAATAGCTGCTTGCTGGGATATATTTAGTCACCTGACAGGGAGCTGGTAAAAGTTTGACTCCTACTGCTTTAAGGTTTTGAAAAATGGTATCTTATTTTTATATTTGTTCTTAGAAGACTTGACATTTGGGGTGGGTTAGTACCTCCCATATTTGTTGAGAGGAAGAACATGAATATTGGGGCTGTATTGATTGTGTGTCTAAGTGACTGGCCCACTGAAAGGGGGCATTTGGAATTTTCCTTTGTCAAATCTGATGGTCTTTCTGCTGTTTAGTGAGAATTTGTAGTATTGCACATGGTTCAGAACCTAACCTCAGCCCAGCCTAAGGCATTAATCAGGTTGGAGGGGAAGTGGTTGTGGTTGGTTGCTGTGAGCAGAGCCGAGTAGAGCCTTGCAGAGCTGTGGCTGCCACTGGCATTATGCTGCTGCTGCTGCTGCTGCTGCTGCTGCTGCTGCTGCTGCTGCTGAATTTGGACTCTGTTGGTCTGTTTTGCTGTACTGGGGCCAGGTATTCGTTTGTTTTTTGTTTTGTGTTTTTCTGGAGACAGGATCTCACACTAGCCCACACTGGCCTTAAACTGGACTTAAATTCAGTACACTCTTCCTCCTCCTTCAGCTTCCCCAGTGCTGGTTTTACAGGTGTGAGCTCACCTTGCCTGGCAAGCCACAAAATCTTGTTTCTATGAATAGAGAGTGTTGGAGAATCATGACATTTTGTTGTTAAACCATTAATGTCCTGGTAATGGAAATCGCCCAAAATAAACATGCCATTTTATCTGCAGTAGGAAAAAGTGCCAAGTTTTGAGGGTTTTGTTTTTGCTGCTGGCAATTCCCAATTGCCAGTGAAATATACATGAAAGGATACCCTTTTAAAGATCTGCTTTACTGTGTGCTGCTGGCTGGGGGCACCTGCATCGGCTCATATGTACCTTGTGGTTCCCAGGCTGAGAGCAGGCCTTCTCTAGGAACAGTCTCACATGTCACTAGAAAATTTCTACCTGGCTTGAAGCAGTTGGTTCTGACTAATCCGGGGGCGCTCCCTGGAAGGTACAGGGAGGCAACTGGGCACCTTAACACTCTTCTCATTGACCTTGACTAGTACAGTCCTTTATCTCCAGATGTGGGTCATAATGGCTACTCTAGGTAAAACCCTGGCTTTCTTCTGTCCCCACCTGCAGGAAGTCCAAAGTTCAAGGGGTCTGTGTCTTATGTGCTTTGGTATTCAAAGTTCACATGATAAGGCCATGGCTGTAAAATGTTCGTGTGTGCACTGCAAAAGACAAAAATGGAGAAGGGAAACACTTGTGGATTTGTTACCAACTCACCCCCTCCCTGTGAAGATATCTAATCTCTGATGTCCCTCGGTATCTCAGGGCGTGTAGTTCTAGAACCTGTGGGTACTAAACTCTTCAGATCCTCCTTGTAAAATATGCATACTCTATACACATCCTTTCTTATTCTGTAAGTCATCCTTAACTCCCTGACACTACCTAGTGAAATTTAAGTGTCCATAAAGAGTTAAATTGTTAGGGGCTAATACATCATGCATAGTACAGACAGTGTAAAGAATCCTTTCAGTTGAGGGCTGCTTAAATCTGCATTGAGATATCCCTGGATATGGATGAACAACTACACTGCAGCACCAACAGTTTCCGGGATGGAGGAGATTAAACTATTTGTTGAAATCCTGCTAGTACCAGACCCTAGACATGTTCTGGTACTTGTTCTTAACAAAAGTCTACACAGAAGCTGGCAAGATGGCTTAGTGGCAAAGTAAAGCACTTGCTGTGTGAGCCTGACATCATGAGTTCATTCTCCAGAATCCATATAAAGGTGGAGGGGAGAGAACCTGAACAAAGCTGTCTTCCACACGTGCACCATGCATGCATGCACATGTCCAAAGACATATGTCAAATGACAATAATTATAAGTCTGTGTAGATATCCCATTATAGTGGTTAAGCTCCTTTCCAGGATCACACTGCATGCATGTGACAACAGGGAATTTGTATGTCCCTAATCCCTGCTTTCTGGCTCCTGGTTTACTGCTTCACTCCTTTTTCATTGTCCTTCTCTAAAGGTGAAAGTATTTTCTTTTGTTAGCTGCCAGAGAGTGAAGGCCTCTTTACAGAGTACCAAAGAGTTCTGCCAAAGGGGCAGTGTGTGCTCCTGTACCCAGCTTCTCCATGGACCTATGGCACAGCAGCTGCCAGCAGGCCCCACCCTCTGCCTCCTATACTTAGAAGACTCCTGGCTGCAGAACATTGATGGACATATTATGTCTTGTTTGTGGGGAAACCCACCATGTCCTCAGAGTTAACTGCTTGTGCCTTTTATTCTCATGGAATGGAGGCAAAGAAAGAGAGAGACTGTAGGTAGCTCTAGAGACCAAGTACATTTTCCTGATTCAAGAGCGACTGGCCCAGATCCTTTCCCACCCAGGGTAGTATTGCCTGATATGTTGGACCACTGGTACAGAGGTCTACAGCTGCAAGGAGGAGACCCTGAAGAGATTATTTAATATTATTCTTGTTTAGTATATAAAGAGAAAGAGTTAGAAACACATTCCATGTTTGTTTCTCCTCGTGTTCTTTTCACCTGATGTCTGAATACTGAGGTCAGAGTGAGAAAAGCTGTGAATAGCTGACTAGGTAGAGATACCAAGTTCACAGCGATGCCATCGTAATAGTGATGCCAAGGGAATAGCTTAGTGCTTAAGAAAAAAAGCTAGTCTCTGGGTGCAGACTCACCCTTTTCGCCATTATGAGGGAAATAGCTAGTGTCCTCTAATAAAATACACCTAGTCAGGATTATAGATTGATGGATTCATTTATTTTCGCTGCATCCCTGGATTGCAACTGTTTGACTTTTGCTTTTTGAACAGCTTTGCCATGGTGGGCAAAATTAGGCTTGAATGCTCTGTAAAGTTCAATATGGTCTTCTGCTCACCAAGCCATCAGCCTCTGAGATTCCAGGTCTGCACCATGTGCCCAGCATCCAGAGCACAGAATTCTTTTAGTGGATATTTCAAGATACTGCCACATTTGTTCTCTTTTAAAAGCCAGTATTAAGGCTGGAAATCTAGTTTGGGAATAGTAGAGTACTTACCTGGAATGCACAAGGCCTGAGGCTCAGTCTCTAGCAGCAATACCCAACACTTACCAAAAGATGATTGTTTTTTTATCGTGAAAGGTGTGTGGTGAAAGGGTGTATGCTAATATTCTTAAGATACAATACTTCTTGTACTCAGTAATGTTCAAGTATTGCTATAGGAATAGAGTTAAATGATTTTTCTGTGACTTACATTTGGTCACAAATGATCTGAAAAGTGTGCTTTGTTACTTTGGTAATTTGAACTATAACCTCAGACCTCATGGATTACAATGAAAATAGTGGATTCTAAGACTAAATAATGTGTCTTACTCATTGTACAAATATGCATGAGGCCTACATCTGGACTTGCACGACATGAAGATTTGCTATAATCTCTCAAGAACAGCAACTGTTCTTCAAGGACGAGGGTTTCTGAAATTGCTCTCTCTAGTTACTCTAACCCTTTGGCTCTTTGTACTGCTGAATTACAGGCTGTGTTTTATATGGTGATTAGTGTGATTTCATTAATGGTGTCTCTTCTGCTGGGGTATACATTCTTATGGTGCTTGGCATTTGTTTATTAGTTGCTCAGTAAACAGGAGGAGGGAGTCTACCACATAGGAGCTAGGTACTCAGTAAAAACTATGAGGCCTTGACAACATCAGAGAAAATACCACTTCTGCCCTGGGGTGCTTAGGGTGTCTATAAAGTGGTAGCATTTTCACAGGCTTTTTAGATTTTTCTAGCCTATAATTTCATGTTTTCAGCTTAGAGGCCTCTTAGTAAAGCTGGGGCAAGCATGAGCTGGACTCCAGCATCTAACATGCTGAGAAAGTTAACCTGGTGGGGTGAGGTGGGGTGGTGAGCCTCCAGTTCTCCTATGTAGCTACACTGTACCCGGATCATAGAGCCCTGGCAGCCTTGGAAGGTTTTACAAAGGACAGAGGACCTGGGTTGGCTGTGGTCAAGGGTGCTTTTGTGGTGAGTCAGAAGATGGGCAGGTTGGAGGCTGGGAGATGGTGAGAGGTCCATGCTGACCAGTAGATATGAATGTTCTTCCAGTGGCTTGGTCCATTTGCCAGCCCTTGTACTGAGGATCCGTAATTGTAGCTATATTGCACTTTTTAGTTTAAAAACATTTAGAGCCAGAGATACTGCCTGCATTTCCAGTATATGGGAGGTGGAAGCAGGAAGACTGAGAATTCAGGGCTAGGCTGCACTACACAGCATGTGTGAGACCTTTTCTTAACTCCTATCCTTGCTCCCATTCCTCCCAAAATACTCCCCATCCCCACCCCTAACACAAGATTTCTCTGTGTAACAACAGCCCTGGCTGTTCAGGAACTCGCTTTGTAGACCGGGCTGGCCTGGAACTCAAGAGATCCACCTGACTTTGTCTCCTGAGTGCTGGGATTAAAAGCATGTACCATTCCACTGCCTGGCCAAAAACAAAAAAACAACTTTTTAAAGTGAGTAGATTTTCTTCCTAGGTCACAACATGAACTTGGCTGTACCTGGCCACACGGGGCCTATGCTTGCATGCTCTGGTAAAAACTCATCTTTCAGTGTGTGCGGTCCAGTGATTGGAGGTTGGGGAACCCCTGACCTGCTCCTCTACTTCCAGAGTACATTCTAGTCTTCTCTGACATGGCATGGAGTGCCTCTTTTGGCCCTTCTGAGATCAGTGTATTGTCAGGTCATCTGTAGCAATCCTTCCCTTGGCTTCCAGTCACATGAATTATTAGTATTCACCCAGGAAAATGAGAAACACACAGACTCCCTGACTTCTTCTGCAGGCTTGGCAGACAGGCCCCCAAACAAGCAGATGTGGCATCATAGCAGTTACAGTGTCCTGGGCTCTCCCCAGCCCTGGGCATGGTGCTATGTGCTTTAACAGACTACTTTTGTTGGGTACTATCCTTTTACACCCTGGACGGAAGGAGCTTTCTTTCAGTAAAGAACTGTGACCTAGAGAGAGGCCTTGCAGAGAGACTTATGGTGGGTTTCATTGTGGATCATCGTATTTGTGATGTTGTATCAGTAAAATATCTCAGTATGGGCTCTGGCACACAGATAATCAACAAGTGGTAGCTACCGTTGTCATATTTGTCTTTCTCAGGAGCGTTTGGATGTGTAGTGCTGTGAGGTTTCCATTGGCCACTTGAAAACCAAATCCCGCCTCCCTTTGCAGCTGCAGCAGAGCTCAGACCTCCTTGCTCTGTTGAATTCTTCGCCATAAATGTCCTCTTTTCCTGCATCTTCCTTATGCACTCTCTGACCTTATTATGTGGAACCTGGCTGGAAACTAAGTCTCCTGAGACTGAAAGCCAACCTGTGGGCAGGCCTTTGTGTACTTCAACCCAACAAAGGCCACACACTGCCCAGGCTCCCCTGGGGACCCTCCAACCTGTTGCTGCATCCCTTATCATTAAATGGGTTAATAAATCATCACTTAGGATGTCTTCTAGGCCTGTCTCTGAAATTCGGGGATTCTGGCCCTGGAACCTAGGGTCCTGTCCAAACAACTGGATAGAGAAGTTTGGAGATCAGCAGTGAATTGGAAGGAAGGCTAAATCCAAATGCAAACAGAGCAAACTCATCTCCTTGTCGTCTCCTCACCCCACCCCTCCTTTGAAGGCTTTAAAGTTATTGTTTTGTAATATCACTTCCAAAATAACTTTGGCCTTTAAAGTCAGCAGCGCAGTGGAGAAAAAGAAAACCTCCTGGGATCCTGAAAGAGGGATGGCACAGCTGAAAGGCATTTACATTTGCCACTGTGTTGCCATAAACAAGTTATGGCCTCACCTTCTATTTTCCGTGCAGTTGCTAGACCCAGAATATAACCTAAAATGTAGCTGCTTTCACAGTCACTGACATTTGCTGCAGGACATGATTTATTAACAGTGTTGCTGCCACACCCTGGCCTTCTCCTTTACATTTTAAAGATGCATTTACATACTTTTTTTCTGTATAAAAGATCATTCTGTGAAGACTGGCGTTATCTTAGCTTTCTGTCGTGTTAGAGCCCACTGTGAGGGTGAAGTTGGTGGGCTCTGTCACCTACATGGTTAATAGCAAAGCTGCTCAATTCTTCCAAGCTACAGTGTGCTGTCATTCTCCAAGCAGCCTCCCCACAGAAGGGGGCTGGGGAGTCGAAGCTGTGTCCTAGAGTGGGTGATAGATGATAACTCACTTTCTGCACTTGTCGGCTTTGGATCTGTCACTGTGTTCGATGTTTGCTGGCAAAAGTACTAAAGCTCTTTGTGCTTCCATTTCCTTACTCCAGAATGACGATGACATACTGCCCACTTGGTGGATTGCTGTGCACCCAGATGAGGCGGTACAAGTTTTGGAACACATGTTTTGAGCATGTAGAAAGTATGTGATGAGTGGTGGCTGTTACTGTTGCAATGTAATGCCTACTTTATCTGGACTTTGACTATCCACAATTGTAACCTTCCTTTTTTTTTTTTTTTTTTTTTTTTTTTTTTTTTTTTTTTTTCCCTTTTCTGGTTTTTCGAGACAGAGTTTCTCTGTAACTTTGGAGCCTGTCCTGGAACTAGCTCTGTAGACCAGGCTGGCCTCGAACTCACGCAGGTCCACCTGCCTCTGCCTCCCGAGTGCTGGGACTAAAAGCGTGGGCCAACAACACCTGCCGTAACCTTCCATTTTCAAAGCTCAGTGTGACCAGTGTCTCACATAACTATATAGTAAGCTTAATTAAAAGATTAACATTAAGGAAAGGATGTCTACATTAATTTTGAGAAAGTGAAACTTACATACTTTAGTACTCCTTTTTAAAATTTATTTTTATATTTATGGGTATTTTGCTTGTATGTATGTCTATGTACCACATGCATACCTGATGTCTTCAGAGTCAGAAAAGAGCATCACATCAGATTCCCTGGGAATGAAGTTACAGACAGATGTGAGCCCCCATGTGAGTTCTGGAACAGAACCTGGCTTATCTGAAAGAGCAGCAAGTGCTCTTAACCATTGATCTCTCCATCCCCTAATAATCCTTTAAGAGACCCAAATTGCTCCCATAGCAATCAGCAGCAATGGTGAGTGCCATAATGCATTTTCAAATGTACCCTTCAGAAAGTAGTTGAAATATAATTTCCAAGCTCAGGGTTAATTTATGTCTTTATTTGGAACAGAGCATAGGATACCATCAAGCTAGTAATTAAGAGCCCTCTTTGTGATTCAGATTCACACTGGCTCTTTGAGATAATTGCTAACAGATACCTGGAGTGTTTGGAAGGGAATGTCCACACAAGTTGGTAGCCACTCAAAGCATCTGCTTAGAACAAAGGCCCATAGTAGAGGCTGCTTCAGGGCTGTGCTGCCCACCATGAAGCCACTAGCCACTTTGCAGGCTTGGGATGTGGTTCATGAAACTGAGAAGCTGGAGTTTTCATTTTAATGAACATGACATGTCCGAAGAGTGAAAACTACTTTTCTGTATATGCCTTAGGCATCGCTCCATAGCTCAGGAGTGGGCTTGAGTCTTGTAGGCATGCCTTTGTTGTTTTTGTAAGTCTACATTTCATGCTGTCTTGTTGGGTAAGATTTATTGTTATGTGCTTGTCACTTCTAATATCAGTAATTTTTGTTATATGTTAAAATAATATTTGAGCAAATTGGATTAAATACATGGTTTGAATTAAATTGATTGTGTTGTTTTTGTTATTGTGTCTAAGCTGCCAACAATACCATTATGTATTACTCACATTATATTTCTCTTAGACTGGCTTTAGTGCATCCTGTAAGTACTTAAAATTAATGTATACTTTTACATTAAAATTTAACTTTCAGTTGTATTTTGTGTATCACAAAAGCAAAAACACTTAGAGGAATGCATTTTAGGAATCTTCAGTCCAACCCCACCTTTATAGATGCAGAAACAAAGGCAGACGGTTTCTATAAATCACTGGTGCCCAGTCCCAGGTAGGGCCGGAACCTGAACCTCTTTACGGTAACTTGTCAACACAGCAGACTGGAACTTCAGCCTCTTCCTGTTACATACTGAAAATGGGCCCTTAGCACATTCTTTACCACAGCATTGCCATGGTAAGGGATGCTACACGCCCCTGCCCCGCCCCAAGCAAAAGACTGGGGTGTCCAATAGGTGTTCACCGTATGTCTGTGTCATTCTTAGGCAGTGTAATAACACTTGCATGAGAGGCATCAGTAAATGTTCATATTCCCACACTTTGGTCATCCACTTTGGAAAACTCTATACTAGTTTTCCTATTTTAAAAAGCCAGAGATGTTTTTTGTTTGTTTGTTTTGGTGTTTTGTTGTTGTTGTTGTTGTTTTTTTGGGGGGAGACATTTCTCTGAGTTGCCCTGGCTGTCCTGAAACTCGCTTTGCAGACCAGGCTAGCCTGGAACTCAGAAATCTGCCTGCCTTTCCCTCTTAAGTGCTGGGGTTAAAGGCTTTGAACCAGGGTCACCACCATCAGTGACTCAAAGCCGTAGATTTTTTTAACCAGACCTATAGCTTTAGACTTTATGCGAAAAGAATTTGACTCTGTATGCTTAGAGTTGTCATCACTTAGAGTTTAGGCCTGGTTTTATGGTGTTGCTTGCAAAACTGTCTTGAAGAGACCATCTACAGCTGCATTGAACAAACCTAAGGGCAAATTAGAGTTTTACTTTTTGAGGCATGAGAGAAGAAAGAGAAAGAAAGAATGTTGTGGTGTGGAGGTGGGCGGCTCCAGCTGCAGGCACATCCCATGTGTGTTCTGTCTTAGGCTCTTCCTCTTCCTTGTTTTTTTCCTTTCACCTTTACACAGAGAGGCCCAAGAACTACTTGAAATAAGATGCAAGTGGATGTTTTGTGGCCTTCAAGCACATGAATGTCAAGGCCAGTGCCCAGGGCAGACAAGGACTGTTGCCTGATCCCAGTCTTGAAGTCGTGGAACTAGCAGGCAGCTTTGTGTTGCTTTTAGTGAGTACAGGGCCTGCATTGCCCAATTTGGGCCTTTTTAGGTCCATATTAGTTTCAGGCAGTTTGGTCAAGGTTGGGTAGACAGGCTGTGGCAGGGGTCTGAGGTCTGGGGTGGGGGTGGGGCTCCTTCTGGGTTGAGCAATGGTGCATGCAGCCTTGGAAAACCATGTGGTGTTCAAAAACACTGATGGGGAAGAGTGCGGGATCCTTGAAGGCCCTGTCTACTCAGATGTCAGCCGGGCCTCTGTAGCAGGATTTCACAGGCTGTTCATTTAAATTCAAAGGTAAGTCCTACACAGCAGGCTTTTGCTGTTTTTTTTTTTTTTTAATTGTTTTTTGGTTTTGGCCTTGTCCTGTTTAGTTTAGACTATAGCCAATCTATGCTATATAGCCCAGGCAGGCATCCAGTGTACAACAATACTTCTGCCTGCCTCTGCATCCTTGAGGTGTGTGCTAACACACTTGGCAACAGTATTATCAATGTCTGTTTTCAGAGGAATTCATAATAGTTTTTGAGTTTTCTTTTTCTAAAATAATTTATTTAAGCCCGGCGTTGGTGGCGCATGCCTTTAATCCCAGCACTCGGGAGGCAGAGGCAGGCAGATCTCTGTGAGTTCCAGGCCAGCCTGGTCTCCAGAGCGAGATCCAGGATAGGCTCCAAAACTACATAGAGAAACTCTGTCTCGAAAAACCAATAAATAAATAAATAAATACAAAATAATTTATTTAAATTTATTTTATGTGCTGCCATGTGGGTGCTAGGAATTGACCCTGGGTCCTCTGGAAGAGCAGCCTGTGCTCTTAACCTAACCACTGAGCCATCTGTCCAGCCCCTCCTCCTACATTTTTTGCCTGCATACATTTTTGTATGACTATCAACTTACCAAGGTTGTATGACTATCAACTTACCCTTCCCCCTTCCTTCATCCTCAGAATCAGAAGTTCACGGCTGGAGTCATAGCTCTATTGGTTGCCAAACATGTGATTTGAGAGAAAGCTCCACCAGAAAAGCTCCAGTGTGCTCATTAAGAAATGAAGGTGATGATGTCAGGGCTCCTCCCTCCTAGGGGAAACACTCTTGTAAAGAGTGAGCCTAGGGGCTGCAGAGATGGCTTGGTCGTTAAAAGTGATTGCTGCACAACTACAAGGACCCAAGTTTGGAATCTAGCACTCAAAACAAACTGGGCACAGTCTTATGCTTGCCTATAACCCCAGTGTCTTGAGGGAGGATTACCAGAGCTTGCTACCTGCTAGCCTGCCCTCCCCCCCCAAAAAAAAAAACATGAACTCCAGATTCAGGGGCCTCCACTCAACGTATATTTTTGGCATATGCATCCACACACAAAAACACATGAAAAAATTTTTTTTCTTAAAGCACAAAATTTAAGTCGGGTGTGGTGACTTATTCCTTTAATTCCAGCACTCTGGAGGCAAAGAAAAGTCGGTCCCTGAGTTCAAGGCCAGTCTGGTCTAGTGAGTGAGTTCTAGAATAGCTAGAGAAACCCTGTCTTGAAAAAAACAAAAACACAAAATCATAAGTTCATTGAAAAGGTATGGTGAAGTAAAGGTTTGTCTTTTTTCTCTGCCAGCTTGATAGGAATAATAAAATTAGAGAAGTAGACGAGGTAGTTTTAAAGTTTTTGCCCTCTGCCCATGGGCAAATTACTTCACCCTCTTTGCAAAATGAGAGGAGAGGAACTGTCTAGGTGGTTCTGACAAACAGCCCTTTGAGTGGTAGCATTCCGTGACTGTGTGGCATAAACATGGTTCCCATGTGATCTGAGTCACACGTACCAAAAAAGTCCAGAGGAAAGGAGGAAGTCTCTGGGGATGAGATTTTTTTCCTTGAGCTAGAGAATTGGAGCCTCATTTTGGGAGGTTGGGGGATGCACACAGTTGAGAACGAGAGAAGAAGTTGCCACTGTCAGGGAGACTAAGGACACAGATTGGAGCTGTGGTGACTTTTGTATGTTGTTATTGCCTTGAATAGCTTTCTTGGTTTTTGTTTCTGGCTCAGGCTAACCTTGAACTCATGACCTTGCCCCAGCCTCCTGAGTACTGTGATTACAGGTGTGTTGCTTTCAAATATTCCCTTGAGTTGGGCCTTGGGAACCCAGACTTAACCCATAGTTATGTTCAGGGTGTTCACGGTCATGACTGCTCTATTGATGAAAGTTACTGCCTCTGTTGTATCACTGCAGCTTTAGTGGCATTCCTGTGCCGCCTGAGGTCCCCTTGTGCTGCTCATCATGTCACAGAACTTGAGTTGGAGACTGCTTTTTTATTCTGTGCCCCTGGCACCTTAGATGTGACCTGTGTGTGTATGTGTCCAATGGGTGCATAGACTAATGCCCCACTTAGATCAGACTGGACACTAAGCTTGCTGGTCTTGACCATCACCTTTATGACTACCTATTTTGTTTTGTTTTGTTTTGTTTTTCAAGACAGGATTTCACTGTGTAGTCCTGGCTGTCCTGGAACTCACGTTATAGACCACCAGGCTGGCCTCCAACTCACAGAGATTATCCTGCCTCTGTCTCCCAAGTGCTGGGACTAAAAGTGTGCACCACCACCGTCCCATGCGCCCCCCCCACCCTCCGTGACTGCCACTTTTTGACAGAGTTTAGCAATTAGTTCCTATTACTTCAAGAAATCCTGCTTGCTCTTGCTGTCTGACACAGAGGGTGCTTGCCCTCATTCAGAGACAATATGCAAATTGGTAAGGTGTTCCTTGTATTTTATAGAGTCAAAAATTCATACTTGCTGGGTGGTAATGGCACCTACCTTTAATCCCAGCACTCAGGAGGCAGAGGCAGGAGGAGCTCTGTGAGTTTGAGGCCAGCCTGGTCTACAGAGTGAGTTCCAGGACAGCCAGGGCTACAGGAGAAAAGAAAAGCCCTTTCTCAAAAAAAAAAAAAAAAAAAAAAAAAAAATCATACTCCAAACAGTTCATAGTTGAAAAGTTAGCAGACCCTTTGGAAAGTACCCTAAAGGTGCCTGCAGTTCATCAAAAAGGCTTTTTGAGTGTTGTCTAAATATAATTCAGTACATTATATTCATATCTTAAATCCTTCACCACCACAGCCCCTGTCTCAAGATCCCAGGGTTTGTGTCTGACTGCAACATTTAGTTCTTACCCATCCCTCAAGCCTGATTGTTGCTATTTTGAGCTACTTGTTAAGTGGCTAGATCTGGAAGTGACCTTGAAGGTTAAACTACATTATTTAGTTTAGGGACCCTAAAAGAAGATAAATGAAAACACGACTGGTTTAGAAGCCTCAGAGTTTCTGCGAAGAGCCTCTGACTGTCAGAAAGGTCCAGGGTGGAGACAACAAGCTCGGCTGCTGAGCTTGTTTCCACTTGAGGTGAAGTGGGCTAGAAAGATGAAGCAGTGCTCCGTTCTTTACCTTTAGTGGAAGGTTCTTTAGGTAGTGAGGTGTGCATGCCATTCTTACAGTAACTGAAGAGTCTTCCCTGAGTGCTTTCCCTTACCCTAAAGATTGCTTGTCACATCGAGCTGTTCTTCTGACGGAGAGGCAGAGCAGCCACCCTTTTGGAACCCCTAGCCCTGCTCTGTCTGCTCCAGCACAACCAGACTGTAATTCTTGAGAGCCAAGTGTGGAACTTCTCATGGAAAAGTCCGAGCTGTGTGTGTTCCGCAGCAGGTGGTCTTACCCACTGTTTGGAAAGGAACTAAATGTCCTCTGTGATTTCATTTGACATTAAATAGGCCTCTGGAGAAAGCCCCGGGTCTGAGTGCCTTCACTTTCCAGTTTTACATTGTCTTGCATCATGCATTGTAGGTTATGGCCAGGGTAATGGGTGAGAGTTCCAGTAAGCTGGCTGGATCATGTTTCTTATGAGTGAGTCATTGCTGAGAACCTTGTTTGAGAACAGGAAGCAACCCGTGGAAGTGCCTGCACATGGTAACCTGCCAGACGGAGGAAGCAGACCACTTTCTAACCTCCACAGCCTAGGAATGGCACATCCCTGAGCTAGTCTTTACCCTTGCTGACTCATGGTTCTTGGTGTGAATTTGGGGATATTTATGTGGTTAAAATCTCTAGCTGTTGACTATTGAGGGAAGGTTTCTATACTAGGAAAACGGGTTAAGGGTCGGCCAAGTATATACGAGTTGCTCGACCCGTTTTTTGTCTAAGGTTGCTGTGGTTTCAGACACAAACTTAGCAATATTTGTGCCTGGTTTACATAGCTGTAAGGCCCTCTTTGACCCCATACTATTCTGTTCTGTTAACTCTCCTATATATTTTAATCACCAATTTCACAGTAGTAACACAATTAAGAATTAGAAAATTAATTTACTATTACCAAAAATGCTTGCATGTGGGCCCGATTGCTATGAACGCTTGGTCTCTTCTGCCACTGTTGGAATTTTTGTTGAAAAACAGTTGGCATTGTTTTGTCCACCATGTAACGCAGTGTGGGACAGGAGCCTTAGAGAAGTAAAGGGGTACATATTTATTATAATTTCTGACCTGGATACCTTTCAGACTGTAGAACGTGAGTCGTGCTTTCTGTCTGATCTTATTCAAAAGCATCTGGGTATTGTCTATGGAGGGGGCTAAACCAAATTTACCTTATGGGTGAATAATATGTTCACCAGGATGTCATAATGAGGTCTATGAGAGGAGTTCTAGTAAGTAATATTTGGATAAAAGAAAGAATGTAGAAACTTTAAGGTTTTCATTTTTTGTTGTGGTTTTGTTTTTGTTTTTGTTTTTATGTTTGTTTGTTTGGTTTTTCGAGACAGGGTTTCTCTGTATTGTTTTGGAGGCTGTCCTGGAACTCACTCTATAGACCAGGCTGGTCTCAAACTCACAGAGATCTGCCTGCCTCTGCCTCTGCCTCCCGAGTGCTGGGATTAAAGGTATGTGCTATGAAGTTGCTTTGTTAAGGAGAACACATGACTTTGGGAATGTGTGTATACACCTGAAACCCCAGCATTTCGGAGGTTGAGTCAAGAGGATGATGAGTTTGAGGTCAGCTAGGCCTTCATAGTGAGATCCTGTCTCAAAGGGGGAGAGGAAGGAACAACAACCTTTACTTTAAAGTTGGGAGCAAACGTCAGTTTTCATTCTAGGCTAAATGATAGGTACAATTTATTATTTTGGACAGTTTATTAAGATACTGTTCTTGTGGGGCTGGAAAGATGGCATCCAGGATAAAGGCAGCTGCCCCCAAGCATGATGACCTTAGTTCAGTCCTTGGTACCCACATGGTAGAGAGCGAGAAGCCACTCCTGGAAGCTGTCCTCAGACTTCTGTTCATACTCTGTGGCACATAAAATGTAACAAAAATCTTATTTTAAGATAGCTTTTATTTAGAATGAGAATATCATCTTTGCTTAATATCTTTTCTCTTTTAAAATCATCTAAGCATAATAAGTGTTTGTTCAAAGAACTAAAATTGGCTCAACATGTAGTATGGCTCCAGTGTTCAGGGTCTCCGTCCATGTACAGAGATGTTTATTTCAAAATGGCATGTATTTGGTGTCCAGCTGAAGATTCCATGAAACCTGTGATGGATTACCCAGATGGCAAACGATTATTACACATTTTGAATATAACTTTGTTAGGCCAGATGGCGGTGTAACATGAATTGTCCAACATTTCCTTACTGTCTTTTGTGTAAGCTAAGTCTGTAGCAGAATTTGGAACAAACAAAACTTATTTGTCCCACATGTTGCAAGGCTCAACCCTGTACTTGCGTTACCCTTGGGCATCTTTTTCCAGTCTAAGAAAATACCTGTTGGAATGCTGCGCTGACTTCCCCACTTTGATTTCCTCCTCAAGACTGTTTTTGTGGCTTTCCCTCTTGGCCGACTGACAAAGTGGGGGTGAAGCCACTAGCTGCTGTCCAGAACTTTGGCATTGGGCAGTTTGGGGCAGTTTTGGTTCTCCTTAGGCACTTCCCTTCCCTGCTGTCTGCTGTCATGTTCTTGCTTGTGAAGGGCGGGCGGGCGCCACAGAACAGTGGGTCAGGGATGGGTCTTTGTGGTGTAAGTCATGCGCCAGTCACAGGGTTCCTTTCAGGAAATGCTTGGTGCTTATTTGGTCATTACAGAAAACAGCAGCATTCAGGCTGTGGGCCTCCCAAGCAGTGCTTTGGGTTAACAAACTTTTGCATAGTGTTTTTTTCCAGTGTTATACTTTGAATGCTTCATACAGTATCCAATATCTAAAACCACGTCATTGTGGCACACACTTTGGGAAGCTGGGACAGTAGGATTGCTGTATGTTCAAGGCCATCTTAGGCTCAATATGAAATCCTGTCTTAAGGGGAAAAAAATCAAAATTTCAGACATTTTCCTTCTGAAACTTGTATGGGAATCTAAAACAGCAAAACATGTTAGGCATAAGAAGAAACTCACTGTTGCTGTGTTCTGGTCAGAATATCTGCATTCAGGCCTATGACCATCACTCTGCACATGGCTGATCTCTTTTGGTGCCAAGCAGTGTCAGTCCAGGCTTGTTCTCACATACATCCAAGTGCCCACAGAGGCCAGAAGAGGGGCATCAGATCCCCTGAACTAGAGTTACAGACAGTTGTGAGCCACCATGTAGACGCTGGGAATTGAATATGAGTCCTCTGGAAGAACAGCAGCTTCTCTTAACTGATGAGCAAATCATAAGTGGTATGTTAAATGGAAACGAACTTCAACTTTCCACCAAAGTTGATATTCCAAAAACTATAGTTATGTATCAGAAAAAAAAACTGGCTTAGGGCTGGAGAGATAGCTCCAGTGTCAAGCATAGTGACACGTACCTTAATCCCAGAACTTTGTGAGTGGAGAACTGCTTGGGCTACAGAGTGAGACATTACCTCTGAATAATAATGCTAATTAAAATGAAATCTTGGCCTCTCTTTGTAAGATTTCCCTATGTCTTAAATTTGATGTCTTCAGTCTCTCCAGAACAACCATTGTTCTAGAGAGTGTTTTAGGAAAATTTTTACGTGAGGGTCTAGGTCAGTGGTGTGGCATGTTTAGCATATACTCCCTTGATACTTTTATAGGTAGTAGGTAGTCCTCTTTAATGATTCAAATTGTGATTAGAATGGTAGCTATAGGTACTGTTGCTTTTAGTAAATAGATGAGTGAATGGAATTAGCAGCGCTCTTCTAGATTTCTAGATCTATACTCTCATTTAGCGTGAGTTTGTATTCTCCCCATCAAGGATGGCATACAGTGAATTAACCCATGTGGACCATCTTGAACATGGTTTCTCCTTCCTTTTCTTTCTTAAACACAGGACATGGATTTGATTGACATCCTTTGGAGGCAAGACATAGATCTTGGGGTAAGCCGAGAAGTGTTTGATTTCAGTCAGCGACAGAAAGACTATGAGCTGGAAAAACAGAAAAAACTTGAAAAGGAGAGACAAGAGCAACTCCAGAAGGAACAGGAGAAGGCCTTTTTCGCTCAGTTACAACTGGATGAAGAGACAGGAGAATTCCTCCCAATTCAGCCAGCCCAGCACATCCAGACAGATGCCAGTGGATCTGCCAGCTATTCCCAGGTATACTTAGTTCTCAGAAAAAAAAAGAAAAAAAAAATGAGTTTTCCTCTAAGTGGACCACCTGGATTTGAGTTCTTTGTCTGTTGTCTACCATGTCTTTTGTGACTAGATCAAGTTCCCAAGCTTGGCTTCCTGATGAGTTCAGTACCTGAGCTCCTCTTAAGGGTCCTTGTGATGATCAAGACATGGATCACAGGGAGCACTTGGAGAATTACAGAAATACCTGTTGGGAGAAACTGCAACAGTAGTGCTGTTGGTAGTAAACTGGTGTGCATTGCTCACAGTGTTGTGGCAGGCATCGCCCTAGTTATATGAATAACTGATTTAACTTACTATGTTAAGTACTATGATTCCCATGTAAGTTGACAGACAACTAAAGCTCAGAAGGGTTAAATCATTTACCCAGACCACTCAGAAAATTAGGGGAGGTTATTGCCTAGCACAAGGCCCTCTGTTCAATCCCCCAGCACTGTTTATTAAGCGGGGAGGGGATGGGACTAAGATTTGAATCTAAGTGATCTGGTTTGAACTTGTGCAACAGACTGATTTCTGAAGTAACATTAGTTTGTATCATTATTTAAGGAACAACTCTTGATGCCAGTCACACCTCTTGGGCTCAGCAGAACTTTTAATAAATTCTTTTGTGCCATTCCCTCTTGATCCAGGTGACCCACATTCCCAAACCAGATGCCTTGTACTTTGAAGACTGCATGCAGCTTTTGGCAGAGACATTCCCATTTGTAGATGACCATGAGGTATAAAAATGTTTGCTTAACAGCAAAACTCCCTTATTTGGTATTAGTTCCTTTAATGTGTCCCCAAGTATAAGAATAAAAAAAATTTTAGAAGGACATATTTGACCAAAGAAATTATTTGTTAAGGGAATTATACAGGTATCTATACGATGCTTAAAAATAAGGTCTGTATATAATACTAAACCTCAAGTCAATTTTACTGTGTAGCTACAAAAAAAATGAATCAAGAGTTAATTTTCCATAGGAAATGGATATAGGTATATAAAATACTGACCAGTAAAGAGCAACTATTAACCAGTACTTTAGTTAACATTCTTGCCAGGCATTGGTGGTGCACACCTTTAATTCCAGCACTTGGCAGTTGACCTCTGTGAGTTCGAGACCAGCCTGGTCTACATAGTTCCAGGATAGGCTCCAAAGCTACCCAGAGAAACCCTGCCCCCCCCCCAAAAAAAGCTTTATCTATTGTTTGAAGCACTCTGCTAGATGTTACAGATAGAAATTAAGTCCTCATAATTATTTTTATCCATTTTGAAATCTGCCCTTAAATACATGGGCAACAGCTTAGTAAATTGTAAATGTGGAGTCATTTTGGAAGGATGAAATGTTGTTGTATAGAAACAGTGATAAGTAATCAAAGAGCTGCAGACCCAATTAAGTGTCCTCTGCATGCCTTGGCCGTCACTAATGTAAGTGCCTTGTCAATCTTAGGTTTCTTCACCTACATTTCAATCACTCACCCTGGATATTTCCAGCAACGTTGAAAGCCCAGTCTTCAGCAGTCCGGATCAGGCTCAGTCACTGGACAGCTGTCTGGAGACAGCCATGACTGATCTAAACAGCATACAGCAGGACATGGAGCAAGTTTGGCAGGAGCTTCTTTCCATTCCCGAATTACAGGTAAGCGAGCTCTGTGAGTGTGCTGTTTCCTATGTGGCCCTTAAATTAGTCATCCTGGTTATTTATTATTTACATGTCACCTACTTACAGGAAGAAATTGGGGGTGTGTTTGAATTACTCATGAGAGCATCCCAGGCTCATTTAACACATACAGTTTTTAGTTAAGCAGGCTGAATATTTCAGGATAGATTCATTCTAAGTGTGAAAGCTAATTTAGAGCTCTGACAATCATATCGATCTATAGGAAATTAGAGTTATTGGAATTATTGAAAAGAACACCTTGGAAATGGGGGGTAGAGAATTGATTTTAAAATACCTAGCCTCTATTCATACAATATCGTATTCATACAATACAATTCATACAATATGAACTTCTTTTCTAGTGTCTTAATACTGAAAACAAGCCGCTGGTTGAGACTGCCACTGTTCCCAGCCCAGAAGCCAATCTGACAGAAATTGACAGCAATTACCATTTTTACTCATCCGTCCCCTCACTGGATAAAGAAGTCGACAGTTGCAGTCCACATTTTCTTCATGGTTTTGAAGATTCTTTCGGCAGCATCCTCTCCACGGAAGACGCCAGCCAGCTCACCTCCTTAGATTCAAATTCCACATTAAACACAGATTTTGGTGATGAGTTCTATTCTGCTTTCATAGCAGAGCCCAGTGGCAGTAGCAGCATGGCTTCCTCTGCTGCCGTAAGTCAGTCACTCTCTGAACTTCTGGGCGGGCCTATTGATGGCTGTGATCTGTCACTTTGTAAAGCTTTCAACCAGAAGCACCCCGAAAGCACAGCAGAATTCAATGACTCTGACTCTGGCATCTCACTGAACACTAGTCCCAGCCGAGCATCCCCAGAGCACTCTGCGGAGTCTTCCATTTACGGAGACCCACCGCCTGGGTTCAGTGACTCTGAAATGGAAGAGCTAGATAGTGCCCCTGGAAGTGTCAAACAGAATGGTCCTAAGGCACAGCCAACACATTCTTCTGGGGATACAGTGCAACCTCTGTCACCAGCTCTAGGGCACAGTCCTCCTGCACATGATGCCCAGTGTGAAAATACAACAAAAAAAGAAATGCCTGTGAGTCCTGGTCATCAAAAAGTCCCATTCACAAAAGACAAACATTCAAGCCGCTTGGAGGCTCATCTCACAAGAGATGAGCTTAGGGCAAAAGCTCTCCATATCCCATTCCCTGTTGAAAAAATCATTAACCTCCCTGTTGATGACTTCAATGAAATGATGTCCAAGGAGCAATTCAATGAAGCTCAGCTTGCATTAATCAGAGATATACGCAGGAGAGGCAAGAACAAAGTCGCTGCTCAGAACTGTAGGAAAAGGAAACTGGAGAACATAGTAGAACTGGAGCAAGACTTAGGCCACTTAAAAGATGAAAGAGAAAAACTACTCAGAGAAAAGGGAGAAAACGACAGAAACCTCCATCTACTGAAGAGGCAGCTCAGCACCTTGTACCTTGAAGTCTTCAGCATGTTACGTGATGAGGATGGAAACCCTTACTCTCCTAGTGAGTACTCCCTGCAGCAGACCAGAGACGGCAATGTATTCCTGGTTCCCAAAAGCAAGAAGCCAGACACCAAGAAAAACTAGGTTCGGAAAGATGGAGCCTTTTGTTTTGAGCTAGTGTTTGTTTTGTACTGCTAAGACTTCCTACTGTGATGTGAAATGCAGAAACACACTTTATAGTAACTATGCAGAACTATAGCCAAAGTTAGTGTAGAAATAATATGAAACTACAGAGCATTCATGTCTCAATGTTGAATCAGTTTCATTTTAACTCTGAAGTTAATTTCTTAGGGCATCATTTGGGCTAGTTTCTGTGTAAGTGTAAATACTACAAAACTTATTTATACTGTTCTTATTTGTTACATTCATAGATTTTTATGACATCTGGCTAAAAGCAAATTATTGCAAAACTAACCAAACCACTATACTTTTTTATATACTGTATGAACAAAAATGACATTTTTATATTAAATTGTTTGGCTCTGACAAAAATTAAAGGAGCTGACACTAATAAAGGAATATCGTGACTTAAATTACTCTGGATCGAGTTTATTCACAACAGTATTTCCCATAGGAGAATCACCCATTTAGCACATTTGGTTATTTTTCACTTTCAGAATGGTTTTGAAAATTCAAAAGCATTTTATAACCAGGTGTGGTAGTACATGCTGCTTATTCTCAATATTCTGGAGGTAGAGGCAAAAATAAACCCTTTCTATACTAAATGTAGTTACTAGGATTGTCCTACCAAGGAAATGGTGTATGTCCCATGAAAACTTGCTTATTCACAGCAATGGTATGCCTGCTAAGGGGGGTTAGGAATGTTAAGAAAAAAGATTGAGAAAACCAGTTTTTATTAAAAAAACAAAAAACAAAACAAAACAAAAAAACAGGGAACAGGGCCTAGTGGCTCATGTCTTTAATCTTGGCAATTCGGGGCAGGGACTGGCCAATCTCTCTGAGTTCGTGACCAGCCTGGTTTACATAGAGAGTTCCAACATAGCCAGAGAGCTATGTAAAGAGAAACCATGTCTCAAAAAAAAAAAAAAAAAAAAAAAAAAATCCAAATAAATGAATACTAGTAAAACCCATTGCAACTCTGAGCTTGTAACATCTGAAGGTGTAGGTCAAACCACTGTTAGAGCATTGCATGATAACACAAAACTGCAGACCAAGGCTGAGCCACAGAGATGGAAGTGATGGGAAGAACCGCTATGAAAATGGTAGGAGTGGGCAGTCTTTAGAAGACAGGGGCTAAGATTGAAGTGGGAGATGAGCCTGTCCCCTCTGGTTTGTGCACCTGAGCAATCTACAAGGCAGGAGTGGGTTCAGAGAGACCAATTGTGAAGTTAGTATATGCAACTACATTTTTCTTTCACGACAGGGTTTTTCTGTACCCCTGGCTGACCTGGAACTCTATAGACCAGCTGGCTTTGAGCTTGAGATCTGCCTGCCCTAGCCTCCTCATATCTGGGGTTAAAGGCATACACCATCATTTTCTAATAAAATCAAGGAATTGTTACACAAGAATGAAGAAATTCTAATGGTGGGAAAACT